TCCCTCCCTACCTCCCTCCCTCCCTTCCTCCCTCCCTCCCTCCCTCCCTCCCTCCCTCCCTCCCTCCCTCCCTCCTCCCTTGTAAAGTTCTTTCAACTTTGCATGTTCCTAAGATGGGAAGGTTGAGTCGGCCGGACCGCCGCGAGAAGGGGAGGGCAAGCGGGAGGATGAGGGGATGACCTCTGCATTGTTCGGCTCTACTTGTTGTCTATGAGCGTCAGGATGGAGAAAACTCGGATAGGAGCGTCAAGGAATCCCCTCCAAGAGATAGACGAAAATCAGGACGTTCGCCATGTCACCAGCACGTTTCGAGAGGCGCTGGTGAAGTGTTCTAGTTTGGTGAGTCAAAATCCTTTCTCTGTGCTTTGATGATGTCCTGTGTTGTGTTGTTTCCGCTGATGTTGATTGTAGATTGAAGAGGAGCTGGGCCTTGAACAAACTTTCGGAAGCGCCTTCGTTGAATACCTCACCAACTGCCCATTAGTCAGGGAAGCAGAAAGTGCTGGAAAGGAAAGATTGCTCCGCAAATTGTTCGAGCCTTGGAAGGATTTGGCTGCGAGGAGCTTCCAGAGGAGCTGCCTGCTGACTTGTATGCTATCTCGATCAGATAGCAGAACGATAAAAAACGCTTTCCAACATTGGGCAAGCAGGATTATGCGAGATGCGGAAAAACTCCGGGAGGCGACTAAGTCGAACTCAGTCGGGGTTCAATGCGATGAGCTGCGAGACAGGGAGGAAGGCGTCCGATGGGACGAGAGGAAGCCCTGCCGTCCGAGATCCAACCAGCCATCGGGCAAGAGGAGGAGGAAGACGGAGTTGAAGGACGGGTCTTTCCTGCTGTTCCTCGAGACCGTTGAGCATCGGCTTCTGCGGGAGATCAAAGAGCTTGACTCGCGGGCGAGGAGGCTGGGGCAGGGGAACTGCTGCCTCCGACCTCGTCTCTCTTCCCTGGCTGAAGAAAGTCGACCGGATGACGAGCAAGGCTGCCAGGTTGCGACTGCCGGCCAAGGGCCCGTGCAGGTAGGCACTGCTTGTTCCTCTTGTGAGATCAGCGTCTTACTTGAACTTGGTAAGAAGGTTGCAAGGAACGGATCCCTCTACAGTCGCCTCGGGTCCCGTCTCTTCAGCCGCCTTCATAGGCTGCAACGAACGGTCTCCCCACGGTCGGATGAGAATCAGACGGCAGCTGGCAGAGATTGTGGTAGTCAGGAGGTTGTGCGGCAAGATGTCAAGAGGACAGGAGCAGGAGCAGGAGCAGGAGCAGGAGCAGGAGCAGGAGCAGGAGCAGGAAGGACAATGAGGAGCATCTTCGTGAGGGCAAGCGGCAACTCATACGTCGACAACAATTTTCGCTGGAAGAGAATATTCGCGTCATGGCAGGGAGGGAGTGGGGGCAGCACGCTGCGGGCTCGTGGGCTCATGCCAGAAAAAGAGGAGAAGGGAGGGAGAGAGGAGGGAGAGGAGAGGGGAGCAGATGGAAGCGCAGCCATCCCAGAACGCGTCCTCAAAAATCGAAGGTCTTCTCCTCCTGAATCTGCAACGCCCCAAGCTTCTGCTTCAAATGAGGAACAGCAGAGGCATGGACAGCAACAGGAGAGCAACGGTTATGGGGAGGAGGAGGACGAGGACGAGGAGGAGGAGGAGGACAAGGAGGAGCTGCCAAGAGGAGCTTCTCCGCAGCCCTTCAGTCAGACCTCCCTCTCCTCCCTTGCATCAACCAGGCTCCCGCAGTTTGCAGACTTGCCGCATCGATCGCATCTGTGGCAGGAAGAAGAACGAAGGCGGGGGCAACTAGCTCCCACTCCTCTGCTCCCTCCTTCCCTCCCTCCTGCTTCCTTCCCTACACCTCTCCCTCGTCCTCTCCCTCCTCCTCTCCCTCCTCCTTCCTTCCATAAACACACGTGGAGGTCTCACCTAGTCGGCAAGGACTCGTCGTTGCCCTCCTGCACGCCTCCGCAGCTCTCGCCTGCACCTTCTAGGAGGACAGAGCATGGATACTCAGCGGGACGGGAGCAGACTTTGCTCCGTCACTCTCCTCCCACCGACGCCAGCTTGCCATGGCATCCACAAGGAAGGTACGAATGGCGACACGGCAGGATGCGGGATATCGAGCAGGAGCGGGAGTATGAGGAGGATTGGAGGGAGGAGCTGGAGCAGGAGGAGCTGGAGCTGGAGCTGGAGCCGGATGCGATGGAGACAGAGGGAGACGCTGAAATGTGGATGGAATATCTGCAGGATGACGAGAACAGCTCAGAGGACTTTGAGTGGAGGAACAGGAGCAGGAGCAGGAGCAGGAGCAGGAGCAGGAGCAGGAGCAGGAGCAGGAGCAGGAGGGTGAGATTCGAGGACGACAATGACGACCACGAGGACGAGGAAAGCATGGAAGTGACGCAGGTGGATACAAGGGTAAGATCGACACTTTTTCCTAGCTCCCCATCTGCGGTCTGCTCCCTCCTTCCTCGCCCTCCCAACCACCTCCTCTTCCTCCTCCCCAACCACCTCCTCTTCCTCCTCCCCTTGTTCTTCTCCACCATTCCGCCCTTCCATGCTGTCTGCTCCTTCCGTCCCTCTATGTCTGCCTGCCCCTTCCCCAGCCATGGCTCTGCGCCTTGTTGCTTGCCTTTACTCACTCTCTTCCCTTACAACAGTGCTCCTCTCCTCCATGCCCCTATCACCGAGGCCTCAGTCGCGAGCTCTCCTTCGAGGACGTGCTTGCATACTGGTCCATGAAGGGATGGTGACTGATCCCACCGTCGTCGACCTCCTCCTCCTTCTCCTACTCCTCCTCCTCCTCCTCTTCCTCCTCCTCCCCTTCTCCCTGCTCTTCCTCTCCCTCAACCAGTTCCCTTCCCCCGTCATCGTCCTCCATCTTATCCTCGTCTATCCACCTCCTTCCAGCCATTTCCTCCTCCATGCTCTCTTCCTCACTCATCATCTTCTCCATCTCCTCCTCCAAACTCCACTTCCTCCCGAGGCCGTCGACGTTCCCCGTCAGGAGAAAACCTCGAGCTGCAGGGGCAAGACAGAGGATGCCGACACCACTCCTGTTGAGAGGAAGATCAGGGTAGGAGGAAGAAGAAGGGAGGAGAGAGGAGGGGCAGGGGAGGAAGCAACTAGGTAGAAGAAGCAGATCAGGAGAGACTGACCTCAACTCTGCGTTGCGTCGGAACATGGGAGCCTGGAGCAGCATCATGAAGCAGCAGCAGCAGCAAGAAGCAGCAGCAGCAGCAGCACAGGGTTGGGGGCGTGGACAAGAACCTGTCCGAGGATGAGCACTCTGCCGTCGAGGAAGCCCATGGCGAGGAGCTCCTCTCCTGACTGCGAGCAGATGCTGGTGATACTTGTGGCTGCGTCATTGCCTGGAAGGGGACAGGAGGGCAGGATCAGGAACGAGGACGAGGAGAAGTCACTGACCAGTGAACTCCGAGAGGAGGAGGGAGGAAGAGACGTCGAAGGCCTTGACTGATCGGTCCTTTCCTGCTACGTCTGCGAGAAGGAATGATAGTTTTAGTTTGTTGCATGTTATGGTGATATGAATCAGAGATGTTCATGATTGATTTGAAGACAAGAAGAGGCAATCTCCACTCACAAAGAACTCCGTCTATCACCGTACAGCTCCATGCGTCATTGCATGTGGACTTGTTGGCAGGTCAGCGGAGCAAAGGCGATCACTGTTACACTTACATTCATCACCACGTGCTCCCTCATCTCGCTCAGGTCCCACAGGAGTACGTCCCCCCTCCCCTGACACCTCACACCTGTCTCCTCCGCCTTCCTCACAGGGCCTGGATAGAACTCGCTGTCGCTGACCGACTGCTCCTGTGCTGGGGGAACTTCACGCCGACTCCGGGTCGAGCAGCATGCTCTGACCTGCTAGGATAACGAGAAGGTCTTTCCATACGCAGGCTGATCGCACAGGCTTCGCCAGCAGCTCAATCTTGAAAACCTGTGTCGCCTCTTCAGCAATATGCTCTCCTTCCCAGCTCCCCCCCTTCCCCCTTCCCCTTCCCCTCCCCCCTTTCCCTTCCTCTTTCGCAGCCTTCCTCCCTCCAAACCTCCTCTCTGCTCCCCGTCCTTATCTCCTCCCTCCCTCCCTCCCTCCCTCCCTCCCTCCCTCCCTCTCTCTCTCTCTCTCTCTCCGCACCAGAGTGAGATGTGCAGACGTCCAGAACTTGACCTGAGTCTAACAAGTCAAAAACCTTTCGCGGGTATCCAAGGGCTCACCGTCCCGTCGTACCCCCCAGAAACTATCCTGTCCTCGTGCTCTACGATACACCGCACCCCACCCTGGTTGCACTTCACCTGCCTGACCTCCCTCCGAAGTTCGACGTCCCACTCTCGCACGCTGTCATCGGACGAGCAGGAGAACAAAACTCCCTTCCTCGCCGAGAGGTCCGTGGGAGGATTGGTGTGCCCTGCCATCCATCCCCTGCTCTGCCCTGTCCTCAAGTCCCAAGTTCTGATCATCTTGTCAGTCCCACCCGTGCACAGCAAGTCCTCGCCGACCACCACCATGCACTGCACTGCTCCGTCGTGCTTCCTGTAGACTCGGACGGGCTTCAGCTTGCTCCCGCAAGATCCTTCTCGTCAGTAACTGAGTACTTGGGCTCCTTGCAGAACTCTCGGCTATCTACACTTGAGCCCTCGGAAGATTCGCTGCTCGTGCTCTGCCCGGATCCTCTGCCGTCCCCTCGCGCCGCCATTCTGTGCATGCCATGGAACAGCATCCTGGTCGCCATGCTGCTCGCATCCATCCCGACGGTCATGTGGGTTTCATGACAACACAGCAAGAAAACAAGAGGGATGAGCAAGTTCCATGAGAGCCCAGCCATGCTCCTGCTATCAGCGTGCCCTCACCTGTAGATCAATTTCTCCCACCTCCTATCTTGCCCTGCTTCCCCCTCCCATTCTCTGGGGCCTCCCTCCCTCTCTCACTCACTCAATCTGAATCTCAACCTTCCTCCTCCCTGAAGAGCGAAATTCAGTGATCACGAAGAGATATCTTTAGAGTGTAACTCGCTCACTCTCGTCTTGTATCCTGTCTTCTCCTTCCTCTATCCTCCCTCTCCACTCTCTCCACTCTCTCCACTCTCTCCTTCCTCTCCTCCTTCTCCTCCCCCTCCTCCCCCTCCCCCCTCCTCCCCCCTCCTCCCCCTCCTGCTCTCGTCCTGCTCTCGTCCTGCTCTTCTTTCCTGCCTTGCGACTTGTCACTGCCCTTGGTCGGCCTTGTAGGGGATCCCGTACCCTACCCACCCGAGAAAGCATGATTGATGGGGTAGTTTGGCTCTACACAAACGGGGGCCAGCATGGCAAACCTGCCGCCGACGTTTGTTGCGAACTTTCATGATGAAGAGCAGGTCAAGAAGATGAAGTACAGGTGAGCAGATGACCAACAACAGTCCTTGGATAGACAGACAACGTGCTGCAGGAGAAGAGATGTGATAGTTGACTGAGAAGAGGAACTGTTTCTGTTTCTCCGTTTTACAACCTCATTGGGTCTCATCTGATCTGATCTCATCTGATCCCGTCTCGCCTTGTCTCGTCCCATTCCATCTCATCTCATCTCATCTCATCTCATCTCATCTCATCTCATCTCATCTCATCTCATCTCATCTCATCTCATCTCATCTCATCTCATCTCATCTCATCTCATCTCATCTCATCTCATCTCATCTCATCTCATCTCATCTCATCTCATCTCATCTCATCTCATCTCATCTCATCTCATCTCATCTCATCTCATCTCATCTCATCTCATCTCATCTCATCTCATCTCATCTCGTCTCGTCTCATCTCATCTCGTCTCATCTGATTGCATCTTCCTCCGGCTTTGTTCTGATCCCCGACAGGGATCTTGGAGGAACAGGTCTGAAAGTCTCAGCCCTGGGCTTCGGAGGGAGTGCGCTTGGAGGTGTCTTCCATGCTGTGACGGAGGGAGAGTGCACGCGAGTGGTCGAGGAGACGATTCGAGCCGGAGTCAACATAATCGACACGGCTCCATGGTACGGTCAAGGAAAGAGCGAGGAGATGCTGGGCAAGGCGCTGAAGGGAGTGCCAAGAGAGGTACGGGAAGGAGGAGTGGATAAAGGATGGGGGAAGGGGAGAGTGGTGGTGGTGGTGGTGGTGGTGGTGGTGGTGAGAGAGGAGGAGGAGGAGGAGGACTTGGAGGAGGAGGAGGAGGAGGAGGAGGAGGAGGAGGAGGAGGTGGTGGTGGTGGTGGTGGTGGTGGATACCCGCATGGATGAGGCACGAGTTCAACTTAGACTCCTCTCCTGCCTCCTCCCCGTTCACTTCCCTTCTCCTCCTCTATGTCCTCTCCTGCCACTTGTGCTTCTCTGCCCTTCATCCTGCTTGTTGTCAACTCATCTACTCCTCGTCTTCTCCACCTTTCCACCTCTATTCCTCTTCTCTACATCATCTCTCACTGCAGGCTGACCTGAAGATTAACTCTACGGCAGGACAATGAAACAGAGCAGGAGC